TTTAAAACTAACTGGGGTTGGTGGCACATGACTATTGTTCCAGCTACTTGGGAGGCTGAGGCAGGAAACTCACTTGAGTCCAGGAGTTTGAGGTTACAGTAAACTCTGATGATGCCACTGCACTCCAACCTTGATGACAGAGCAAGACCCTGTAAAATAAAATAAGAAATATCATATAGTAAAAATAATTAGATGTATATGTATTCACCTGGAAAAAAAAGGCCATGGCATATTTTTAAATGAAAAAAATAAAATATTTGAAAACAGTATAGGTAGGGCATGGTGGCTCATGCCTGTAATCCCAGAATTTGGGAGGCCGAGACAGGTGGATTGCTTGAGCCCAGGAGTTCCAGACCAGCCTGGGCAACATGGTAAAACCCCTGACTCTACTAAAAACACAAAAATTAGCCAGGCATGGTGGCACACACCTGTAGTCCCAGCTATTCAGGAGGCTGAGGTGGGAGGATGGCTTGACCTTGGGAGGTGGAGGTTGTAGTGAGCCGAGATCATGTCACTGCACTCCAGCCTTGGCAACAGAGCCAGATTCAGTATCAAAACAAAGACAAAAACAAAACAAACAAAAAACCAGTATGTAATTCAACAAAGTTTTAACAATATGTAATATGTACATAATGCATGTATGTATATATTTACATATATAAATACAAAATAATACGGCAACATGTAGGAAATCAAAAAGATTTTTACGTCTGTGAAATAAATGGCTGCGAGGATATATATTTTCAAAATATTAACAGTGGTTATCTCTTTTTGGTGGGATTTTGGGGGTCACTTTTTCTTTATGATTTTTAAAATATTTTTGAATGTCTTCTAATGAGGCTGTATTGTAATCAGAAACATTTCAGAACAAGTTTGTAAAATCCTGAGTTTCTACTGTCTGAAGAAGATATTTTCAAAATGAAACTAACCTTCCAGCTGCTCACTAAACCCTTCAGTTTCCAGATGGAACGTCTGTCTCTACCACTTGTGTTTTATTTCTTCCCTGACTTCTTGGCTTGTCCCACAGTGAAGGCTTCTGCTTCTCTGTTGCCTCCTCCTTTTGCAGCACTAGCATTAGAAGTGGGTCTTGCTGGGACAGAGGGGCAGGAATGATACCTGGCATATGGGAGGTGACCCATCTGGCTTCCTTGTGACCTGGACATTTCCAGGTCTGTACTAAATATCTCTAGTGATTTCCTGTTCACTTGTCTGTTGGTGAAGCCTCAGAAATAACCCAGGTTTCATAAATGTAAAAAGCTTCCCATGGTTTCCCAGAGGTTGTCCTGCAGATTTCCTGTTGACAGAAACACAGGAAGGAGTGCGGGGGCTGCACTGGTTGAACATCTGCGCCTCAATCCCTCTGCCTGTCAGTAACCCTGTCAGGGGGAGGCCTGCTTGCTTCTAGGGTTGGGAAACTGCTCAGCAGGCAGGATGGGCCCTAGCATATCACAGCCAACCAGTCAGCATCATCCAGGCATTGTTGCTGAGACAAGAGCTCAATGATACAGCAATGGCATGTCAATCCCCAGTGATGCTCAGATTCAACCAACAGAAAGAACAAGAGAAATATCTAAGCTATGGAGCATGGGTGGGAGTATGGGGGTGCAACATGGGCTACTGTCAAGGTCTAATACCAATCTGCTTTAGGATTTTTTTTTCTCCTGTTGAACGTAGGGAACTCCAAAACAGAGGCTCTTGTCTCCAACTCTTATCAATGATTAGCATGTGCACAATCCAGAATTGGTTATCGGGAGCTGGTTCCCTGTCCAAAATACTACTGTACTATGAAAGTTGGCCACAGCACCAGGTCTGTGTTTGGTGACAGGAGCCTGGCCAGTCACTCCAGCCAGCAGCTCACACACTGCCACCTTTATACACACAACGCACTGCAGTCATTTATTTTGCTGGGCTTGGCTGGCTCTTATTTTCTCAGCCTCTCTGCTCAATTAGCCTTTGTCAGTTGTATGTCTCTTTAACTGGTTTGTCTGTCTGACATTGGTCATTCCTCCCACATATAGTGTTAATCCTGATTGTCTTCAGCATGTGACTAGAGCAAAATAGCCTTATATGGCCAAAAGGAGATTGACGAATGCCCATCAGGAGACTCTTTAAACAGTAGGCTGATAAAGGAAGCAGCAGGCTGTAGTGGGAGGAGACAACAGTGTTTATTCTAGAAAATCAAGAAGCATCTGTTCACCTGGGAAGGGAATAATATCTATTTTGCAGCTCCCTTTATGTAATTAGGGCTGCCTTTTTTTTTTTTTT